GTGTTGAAGATATCCTTTTTGCACATCTCAAAAGAGCCACCTGAGCCATGCTAGTGATCGGTTGGTTGATAGATAGCGATGGGCGGGGCCGAAGTCAAGTTATGTACTTCGTAAAATGTCTAATAGCGCAAACTTTTTCTGCATAATACATATCACGTGGATGGTGCAGGACGCTTTTCTACATTCGCTCATTAAGAGCCGGCCGCCATGCATTATGTCAATAGCCGCCCGGCGTGCGTTCCGTGTGCATCATATGTTTGATACAAGTCTTAAAATAACTAAGCAAGAAGATGTCTGTAGCAAAACGACATCACGTAATAGATCTAGCTGCAATTAGCAGTTGTTTTTTGCTTTGGGTGATATTATTATTGAAGGAAAGCGGCCCGGCGTGCGTTCCGTGTGTATCATATATGCTGGGGCACGCCTTTTCTTTTACTATCTAATGAGTGCCTGGTTAGAAAAACACCAAACCAAATAGGGCTAGCTTGTAATACTAGTAGTATCAGTAGCAGCCACACTTGATCTCGGGTTTTTGCTTTTAGCGGTATTTTACTTGAGGCAAATTTTATTTTGCCTACAGCGGCGTGAACGAAGAAAAGTATACACGCTAATACCATGAGCGCTGCAACAAACGTACGAGTCACACTACCTTGGCGGTTAAGCTCCAACTTTTTGTCGTTTCTTTTCTTCATACGTTCTGTCGTTTCTTTTCTTCATACGTTCTGTCGCTTGCCGCGCGATACTTTATGGTGTCTGCGCATAAAGAACAATTGAATAAGTAAAAATGTCACGACTAGACAAAATCCCACACAGGCCAAATGAGATACAATGCCATAATGCCTGTTTGTAAACAAATCAAAGTTTGAAAATACGTGTAGTTTAATTTCGTGAAGTCAGTACCAATGTTTTGTTCACATTTGATCTTACTCGTATATAATTGGACAGCTGTTTGACCCTGTATTAGGCCAACCACAATGTCCAAGATGGCGGTACCGACTAGAGAAAAGAACTTGTTGGAGTTCTCCAGAATCGCACCGAATCGTTGAAGAGATCTTACTGCTATTGCTCGACTTGTGAATGCCGAGTCCCGTGCCAATATAGTCTGAAGGCAATATGATTTCAAAAGAAATAATCATTAAAATTGTACTAAATGCTAATGAAAAACTGTGAAAGAACATGCCCACCTGCGCGTTTGCGTAAGTTCATTTAAGTAGCACCGCACAGATTATTAAAATGATGCAAGAAAAAATTACTGTAGGTCGATAAAGCGCATTGATTGCCTTTCTTCTCTCTCAAATCTTCTTTTTACAGCAACAACATTTCCGCCTTCTAGGTGACTCACAATCAAAGCATAGATCAAATTCATTGTGAAAGAAAATCCGCGAATGATAAAAGCTAGCTAAAAACCCATACCCAGGTACTAGTAAGATCAGCAATAAGATTCGTAACAAGCGTGCCCAGAAACGTCTTCAGCCGACTGATCGATAGCTGCATACCAATGGCTATGGATAAACTTTGCGGAACCATTTAGAAAGCAGTGATTCTTGCATCGTGACAATAGGACCGCCACCAATGCCCAAAATCATTTGCCAACGACGATGAGGAAACGAAGCAAACTGAGCAGCCAAGGCTGTCAGTAGGCTTTCCAAAAATGACTAAGCCGTTAACTGCCATTGTGCCCCGTGCCGAGTCAAAAATTGTCAATAAACAGGCCTCTGATGATAGGGAATATTGTGTTTGATGATTGGCACTAAGGATGATAGTACGCCATATTGTGTATTGTCGATGTGGACATCCTGGTTCATGAAGCTTCATGTGTGAGTTACATAGCTTTGTCAAGGTAACTGAGAACCCCCGTATCCTTAAACTTACATTCCGAACAGACAATTTTATAGCAATTGAGCCCTGGTAGAGAAATGTGAGCCGACTACGGAATGCTACTTTAAGAGTCGTTGTAAGGATCATTGATAGTCGTAAGTATCAGTTTTGTGTGTCAAATGACCTGGTAGCCTATATCACAAGCTTTGATCTTGCTCTTTCATGCAAAAATTTCACATGTGCCCTTGCCGATGACATTGTTTGTTGATCGGCATTGGCCCGATCTGAGAAGTTGTTTGTTCCGGGAACTTGGAACGTTTACAGAAAAGGGGCTCGAATGCAGGACTTTTTTTTGGTGCTGAACGAGTTCTTTGCGTCCGGTTTTAATAGCGCGAAATCAAGCTCTTCTTACAACGACGACAACTGCTACTGGTCTCAGCTTCGAGTACCGATAGTAACAACTATGCATCATTTCTGCTCACATGCCAACGTGCATATACAGATCAGACCAAACATTTCCTTTACTACATCGATGAACTTGTACAGTGACAAACGAGTCAGCCAAAACACACACCTTCACGCCTACAACGATGATGACCGCTCCTTCTAACCTGCCATCCACCTCCTCAGTTCTCGGGTCATTTGTCGCAGGCTCTGCCACGCGACAGACTCGGCCCTTCCAATCCTTTGCTGTTGTCACCTACCTTGTCTCATCGCTTTATTAGGCTATCCGGGTGATAAAGTCGGTATGCATCAGAGGGTTTGCAAGAAACCCGTCTTTGACTTGATTATGTCGTGTCATGTGGTCCTTATGGAGGAGTCATGGTGGCTATGCTGCTAATAATGGAATCACGTTTCCAGCCTAGCCGAGTAAAAATAAATGAGTTTGCGACCACTTGAGTTGATCGAGAAGGGAGCGTGTATACCCAATTAAAGCTCTGCCACTGATTTGAATGATGGTTGTGGAGCTGCATTAACATGAACATGCACTTACCGTGTGCAGCTGGCTTTTCTGAATTATTCAAAATCGTACTCTTACTGCGTAGCATGTCCTTTTTATTTGTTGGCATACTCTCGCACCACAATCATCAGAAAACCAAAAACGCCGCCAGAGCCCTAATTAATTACAACGAGGAACGACAAATGGGGGGGGAAGTCTCCCTTTTTCTTTATACTTTTGATGATCTGAGCTATACCCGGTATCCTGATGTATGACACATCGAAAAGTATTGATAACAAGGATGTACAGTGCTACATACACCATAATACCACTGTTGTGTCGCGGTAATAACTGCACATTGTTGTTTTTCGGTAAACGTGCTAAATTTTCCAGCAGGCAGGGTAACATCACACAATTACAAATGCACCATAGTATTCGGATTACCTTGCGGAAAAATGCCTATCATAATTTTTATTGGGTAAGAAATGATTTGAAGTGACACGTCAATGTCATCAATTGCCTAAGTAACACACACAAACTTGATGTCAGCCTGTTTACCTCCCGATGTACCGATGCATCAAAGTTTTGATGTCCCTCACAAACATCAACAAACCTAATGGGTCTCGAGAAGATGCATTAACTTCAGTAATACCATTATGATACATCTTTGCTAAATCAAAACTTTACATTATTGAAGCACCATTATCTAGGTGGTGCTATGATATCTGTAACATGTTCTAGTAACAGTACATACATGATAATGCCTTCTATCCATTCCACACAATTTAGTGCAGCCGCCATTGCTTGGTATGTTGTACTCTGTTATGAATCATCACTTTCTTTAAACAACAAGTAATCGTTCAATCATGGCTAAAAACTAATTTTTGTCTCCTCCCTTTTCTTATGATAAACGAGCTATAAATTGTGCGTGCTCTTACCATCACACTCCTTTATGCGATTGCTGCGGTCGTTGCTGTTCGTGTAGCGGGTCAACTCACTGGTCCTGTTGGTTCCACAGTCTCTGTTGCTGAGAAAGCCGCCGGAAAAGTCTGTAATTTATGGTGCTGTTGCAAAGTGAGCATATTCGTATGCAGGATTTTCTACTCTGTGGATTACAGTAGTGCACGCATACGCTCCTGTGTATGATCTACTTGTCACACCCGTATTGGTAGAAAACAGTATGTAGATGAAGATTGAAGAGATGAGTGAAATAGTAAATTTTATGTGAATGATTTTCTTTTTTGTGACGAATTTTACATGTAATATTAAACAGATAGGGAAGGAATGTTGAGCGGTAATAGAAATAGATATTGATGTTATGAAATGTTAGTGGGGAATAAAAAAGATATAGTATATGTATAAAGAAACTTCTAAGTAAATCAGGACCGTACAGAGGTATTAAAAAGGTTACTATTGGGGTGGAGTGTGTTCATCACTGATAGAGAGACGTTTCTCCAGGTATTCTGCAACAAAATCCTCCACTGGTGGTTTTGCAGGTAATGCTCGTCGCTTACTCGTCAAGTCGACGTATTCTCGCAGTTCTTTGATAACACAATCACAAAATGCCGCGATCGCCTCGTCCAGCTAATAAGAAGCACATAAAAGTGAGCATATGATACTAACAGGCCTAAACATAACCGCGTGTATAGAAATGGTTGACCCTTACAGCTGCTAATCCTTTATCGGTCTTGCGTGCAACTTCGGATGGGTCGAATCCTTGGAGCGTTAACTCAAACCGGAATGAGCATGCACTACGGTGGTGGTGTTAGTACTACTGATTGATTCGAAAGTTGAATTAGTACTTATTAGATGTACTCACGCTGTGAAATAGCGCAGGTTCTCGATGGCTCGATAGGTGCGCCGAGTATCTGGATGGATTTTGGTAATGAATCCAAACGGTCGTCGAGATCGCTTGACAATATTATTATACACATTACAAAGCGTGATCCCGTCACTATAGTTATTACCAATACAAACGATTATTAGTAATGAAAATGGGAGTAGGGTAAGGAGAACAGTGAAACTGAACGGGCAAACATACGCCAAGTAGGATAGAAATGCATCATGATCTTCATGAGGAGCTGGGATAGAATCCATTGATTGAGCAGAGGTGTTGCCATTTATGTTATGTCGGTTATCGTTAAGTAAAGCGTGGTATCGACCTATTATAAAGCGCCACTCGTGTTATTACTCATCAAATTGCAATCTTTCTTTTATGAATCTCCTCCTAGCTGCATTTGTGTTAATCATCAGCTCCTATCTTTCTCTTACCTATATCATCATCCTGAAACGTTCCCCGTTGCAGCCAGTCCGGTAATTTCGAGATGCCAAGCTGTTGTTCTTGCTGTAGCTGCGCAGACAGCTGCGGCGAATCCGGGGCTTCAGAGTCCTCCACATATGTTTTGGCCATGAGGGCCCTGATTTCGGGAGAGAATGCAGCAGGCGGGCTGCCGATATGATGTGGCGGGTTGAACGCATATATTTCGACAGTGGAGAGGTAAGTGTGGATGGCCTTTCGCTCCTTCTCCAACATGCCGAATTCCGAAGTATGATAAGTGAATTCGCCATCGTCCGCAGCCTCCTGGTCCTTTCGGAACCGGGTTTCCAACGACTTTATCGACTCGAGTAATTGAAGTGCTGCATGGCGGACTTTCTGCGAGGCCACGTCCGACAAGTCATGGCGGTGATGCATGTAGCTTTTGACCGAGTTGATCATCTTTGTCACCGAGTCGAGTAAAGGAAGGATTTGGAATCCCTCGTCGCTTTCGCTGCTCGTATGACTTCCTCTGCTGCTGAAGCTCGAGTGCTCACGAGGCCCGGTCACCATAGCCCACTGAGTCAGTGTTTGCTGGATATCGTCGAAACATTGTGATAAAAGTATGTCTAAATCGGTTTCAACGTCCAAATCCATCCAGCTTGGTGGCGGTGCTTGAGGTGTTGGTAGCTGATCCAAATCGTCCGGCTCTTCTACTAGATCTTCTCGTTTGAATCCAAGCATTCCTACTCTATATATAACGATGAAAGTTAAGAAAAACAAAAAGCCTTGTTTAGCCACATCGTTCGCTTTTTTCATGCATTAGAAGATAAAACACAGCTTTAAATCACTGGCGTGCATACTTGTTGACTTTCAGATCCTTGTTTGCATAAAAGTTTTGGAGTCGTTCAATTGAGCCGAGTGTAAGTACGGAAGATCGTCGTTTGGCTAAATTTATCCACCCATTCGAATAGTTAGTGAGTGGTTTGATTCAAGACAAACCGTATTTGCTTTAAAAAAAACATACCAGAGCGTGCAAAGCCTTTGGTTTGAATGCCATTGATAGGCTTCAGGTATCGTCTGCCGAACGGACTTGCTGAACGGATAACGCTGTCTGGAGTGGGCGACGACAGCGGTCTCCCGGGCACAAACTTGGGTGACTTAGTAGTGAAGTCGTCGTACTCCTCATCGTCAGTGGTCGTGGGTGCAGGACTAGAGGTGATGGAATCTCGGCTAGTGGTGGGATGTGGATCGAGTGGGTGCGACATTTGGCAAAAGTATCAGAAAAGATAAAGTTCGATGGAAGAAGGAATGGAGAAGAAAGCCAAAGTATTGTATATGCCTAGGGCTATTAAATATGAAAATAAAAAGAGTGTACTGAATATGTGAGAGAGAGAGCCAAAGGGGTGGGGGGTGGGGGTGGGGGGGGGAAACTAGAGTGTGTGTGGGTCAAGGCCTAACCTGTTGCAGGCACGGGTCTATGCTCGGAAATCGCCACGTTGAAACGTGCTTTTCGTGTTCCACACACACGCACGCTTTCTTTTTTTATTATTTCATTCACAGCAATAATGGTCTCGGCGATCGACAAAGAAGCTCATTTATTGAGCAGTTTGCAGTCTTTGATCAAAGCACAATCAACGCGCATGGGACTGTACAAAGAATTCAACGAGTTGAGTGGACCATTTCTTTAACATTTGATTCTCCTTACAACTGTGGTTGGGCGTTATTGTAATGAGGACGATGCATATGCATGTGAACTATTGCAGTGCGACTGACACACGCTGATACCACTGTCAAGTGCGTTTCAGGACTATCTTGATGACAAATGCCCGGAAGAGCAATATTACTCCGTATGTCGTCTCGTGACAGAAGGTTTTCAAGAAGTCTCGACGGAGATTCAGTCGATCGAACAAGATATGAATGACGAGTGTAATCGAAAAGATTTGGGAAGCATGATCCGACAGCTTCAGGAGAAGGAAAGAGCAAAATTGCACGAGGTAAGTCTATTTTATCCGATGACTTTGCCGAAGCAAACAGAGCAGAAGGAGACCGGGAGTGTTTATTCATCCGAGGCTTTTTGTTTTCTTTATTGTCTGACAGACAGTGCATCTTCAAATTTACACAATCAAAGCACGCAAGGGCGACAAGGACTATGATGCAACCTTGCAGGAGCATAATGCAAGGTGACATATCTCTCATTTTTATATAAAGTCCTTCCGCCCAGCCAATTTAAACGTTCGTCCCCGCCACCATCCCTTCTCATTAACTTACTCTTCCTTATTGCTACTAGATTGAACGAAATCGCAAAGGATATTAGCGAGATATGGGATGAGATTCGGCAAGAGTCAGCAGAATTATCATACACCTTGTCAGCATAATAAGAACAATTTTTTTTTCTCGTTTAATTCCATGGGGGGACCATTATGTACAGAAAGGACGAGAGAGGTTGAGGGAAATGTGCTCTATTTCTTGTTATTTTACATGCCACCGGATCCTCTCAAGCTCTCAAGACGCTTGACAATGAACACGCTGGTGTCGAGGAAACGTTCGACACAGTTGGCCAAGCAGGCCTCTTCGCTGCGATCCAACTTGTTGTTGACTTTGCTAATGCACTTGTCCTAAATACAACATACATGTACGCGTATACATGTTTCGATAATTAACTTTAGGTTGTGCTTTTCTTTGTAAATGAGAAAGGAAAAGGTTCGTTGTTGACAGTTACCCAGCAGCTGTCGGTCAAGGAATGAACCGTCTGTTGAACGCGAGCTTTGGCATTCTCGCCTTCCAAAAACTGAATAAAAAGGCGGAATCAAATATACAATGAGTTATGATGTCTCTCCAAATTTTACTTTCTCTTGCTCTAAGAGAAAGGAAGCATAAAGAATAAGAAAAAGCTCCAAGTTACCTGGGCCAACTCGCGTTGGTCAGCTTCGCTAAAGTTTGGCATAGCATCCGACATGTTGTAAATTGTATAGACGGGTTTCTGTTCGTTTCTCACAATCGCAGAAGCAAACTCAGTGCTTGCTTTCTGAGCGTCTCTAAGAAAAACAGTCACTTTAAGCCCGCGCAGTTTTCATGCGGATCATCAATTGGGGTGGTTGTGATTAAATTTATTTGAACCTGGGCAGCTGGGACACAACCAACTCTATGCTGCCTTTTCGGATTCGAACACTATAGTCACTCCAGTTGGCATCACCAGTAGTATTGGCGGAACACAATGATATGGCCAGGGAGCTTGATCAATATATGCCAGTCATACTCAGTGCACATCTGGCGAAGGTGCGAGCAACAACGCACACGGCTGGAACCATCATCTTCCATTGCTTCGACTTCTTGGTATTATCATAATAAGCTTATTGATAAAATATACTTCATACCTCATATCAAGCTGGCAACATTTGTGTAAATTGAATAGCCATTTCAATTTTCTTTATGTGAGCAGGGCTTGTCGTAGTGCTTAGTCGTGTATTCGCTGACGATCTAGCTTCAACTTCCCCAATCTATTAACGGTTTCTCTATTTCTATGAAAAACTTCATATTCTCATCAAAACTCATCTTAACATATTGTCAGCATGCAAGACTTCATGGAACATGCTTTTTAGCAAGATTACATATTGCGGTTTTATTGAAAGCAAGTCTACTTACCGCTGATTTTCTGGAGTGACTTATCGGTATCGTTTCTGCTCCCAACAGGGCTACTTTACTCTTTAATCAGCATTGGCTTATGACATTTTTGAAACTTCCAAATCGTGGGTCCGTTCGTTACAGCGTCTTCAAGACTCTACTTTACGCTTGTTTAGCAACATTGACATAGCATCAGACCAGCATGCTCATCCAAAATGTAGTGATTTAGGCTCAGTACCTGGTGACAGTCTCCCGACATGTATAAAGCCGTATTCTGAATGCTGTATGTATACTCCCGTAGATCCAATCTTTAATAACCTGAGAAATTCACGCAAACCGTCGTAAATAACAATATCTGACTCGTCATTATGTGGCAACAACTTTTAGAAAGTAGCAATACTGTTGCAGAATCGAAAAAATATACTATGAATGATTTTTGAAACAACAGCCACAATCATTCATACGGTCGAGCCATTCTTAGCTACAGAGTACTTTAAGCCAAAGATCGATAAAAGCGATATTAACCCCGTAGATGGCTGTGCTTCTGTCGAAACTCCTGCCAAGCTCTATATCGCCAAAGCATCAGCTCACGTCATCCAAAGATAAAGACGAGGAAGCTCAATTTTCTATTACTGTTTGACTATTACCTTGAATAAAACACCACCATCATTATTTCATTTATGATACACAGATGTACGGACATATGTATTTCCTTCTTTCTCCCTGTACAGTTTCCAAATTACTGTGAATACAACTGATGGAACGCTCGATATACCGAGAAGCAGCAAGTTGTTCTCAATGGCCGTGATGCCGAAATTCTGGTTGCTGACTATGTCTTTAACTCCCAACATTTGGTCTATTCGCCTAGTGAGATTTTTACTCATCAGGATATGGGCTCGTTCGATGTCATTGTTGTGTATGCTTATGAAAAAGAAGATGGTATTTGCAATCAAGGCCACCGGCAGCAGCAAGAAGGATCTCAAAGTCAAGACTCATAGCTCGGTCAAGTATAAAACTGCCGATGATGTTTTACAGCTTACCTATACACATCCCAACGGTACTACACCCGCCTACATTTCGAGTGCCAGCAACAAGGACCTCCTCGTACCGGTTTCTGGATATGACGCCGCATTGAGATGGTGGGCACCATCAATCGACGAGAACGGAGATAAGCGCGTGTTGATTAATGGACTTTATCTCGTGCGCGGTGCCTCTGTCTCTGGCGGTTCCGTTGCCTTCACTGGCGACATTGACGCGACGACGGATATTCAAGTGAACCTTCCTGACGATATCACTTCGATTACATGGAATGGACAAGACGTTAAATTGTAGCAAGATGGATCTAATATTTAGACCGGCACATTAGAATTTAAGAAACCCAATATCAAGTTCACTGAAGATCTTTCCAAGGCCCAATGGAAATACAGCTCCGCTTTTCCCGAGACAGATCCTGCATTTGACGACTCAAAATGGACAACTGCAGACCATGAATCTACATACTCAATCACAGTTCCAGAGACTTTACCAGTGTTATTCGCTGATGACTATGGTAGTTATAGATTCATCATCATCCAGCAAGAAAGACGATGCTATCATATATTATGTAATAATTCCGTATTGAATAATAATTAGGCTACCACACTGGCAACATTTGGTTCCGTGGTACCTTTGATGGATCCTCAGAAGTTACTGGCTTGAACTTGACTTGCATGTCTGGCAGTGGCTCTGCTTGGGTTATCTGGATCAATGTGGCGAATATTTTGGAGGATCGGCAACCAAGTATTTGAAGATTTGAAAATCAATGACGGTGACAACGTCATTTCTTTGTTACTGCGGACAACTGGCCATGAAGACGATTGGAACGTAGACGATGCATTCAAGTCGGCACGTGGTTCCACCAAAGCTCAGCTCCTTGGCGCCGATAACCAAAACATTTCATCTATCATCAGCTGGAAAGTTCAAGGTATGTACTTTCGCCAACAATCATTTTCATATTACACGTCGTTGAATGATCTATTGACCTGAGTTTTTTTTGGTTGCTAAATAGGTAACGTCGGAGGAGAAGACTTGCCGGGCACAGTACGTGGCCCATACAACGAAGGTAGTCTTTACGGTGAGCGTGAAGGCTAGCATATAATGGCTAGATACTAAAACAAGGAATAATACGGAAAGCCACTCCATGCGCATAGGAAAGCAAAGATTACTTTTTCTAGAACGTCCTCCCACTTTTGTTTGCAAGCTGCTGCCTGCGACATCCATTAGGCTTCCTGGAATAGTTGAACGCACTAAAAGACGCGTGGAATTGGAATGCACAGCATTGTCACTCGCTTGGATAAGGGCAGCTAATCGTGAGATGTTAAGAAGCCGCAATTTTCGATCCCTTGCACGCAACTAATAGAAATTAATTCAGTGCCGCATGAATGGTGTGTCCTGAGACAGCTCTTCAGAGTATATGATCGTGCACGAGAGGAGGGTTTACAAAACAGCTGCTCATCGAAAATAAATGGTAATAGTATATTTCTCATATTTGTAGCATATCCCTTCGTGCATTTTGCACTGTGATTTTATATGAGAAGATCTCTACTTAGGGATTCAAAAGGCTACTGCCTGCTTCGAATGGGTGCTGGAAAACTGTAAGCAAAAAATCCTTTATCATGGTGATATGCAAACTGTATGTTTTACTGTGAGATACATAGACCCGAGTGGTATACTGAGCAATTATGTATTTACTAAGAGCGTTTATTAGCTGGTCTGCGCACAAACCTCCTTAGACGCTGCAATAGATCTGGTCTGCGCGAGAAGTGTGACCGCAGTAAATCCCATTGCATAAATAGGATTCCTAATTTCAGTGTAACAATAAGCCGGGTTTAGAGCAAATAGTCACGCACCCGAACGCTGCGCGACCACGAAATCGAGCATTAGGCTTCCGGGGTTTTACTTGTTCTGCACAACCATGTCACGACACAGAGCTGTTCGCAACTTAGACATCGATGGTACTACCAATTCAAATTACTGTTGTCGCAAATTAACATAGAAGCTAAAATCAACTCGTTTCATGTTTGCTTTGGCGATATGACATATTACTATAGACGTTCTCGAAGAGGACGATTATGCGGACGATTATGACGAAAACGAGTGTACGTTTGGAACAACCAATCAGAGAAAAAGCGTTCATTCGCAGTGAGAGAACATTGTACACCACGAAAATCTTTTCCTTGAAAGGCTCAATAATTATCTACCTATAGTGGACGAAGGAGATCTTTCTGCAGAAGATCGGGCCAACTTGGCAGACGGGCTGGCACACGTACTGAGTGTTGTCGGCGAAGATATCCCGGTTTCAGATATGGAAATCAAAGAGGCATTGTGGTACTACTACTTTGATCGAGAAGAAACCATCAATTGGGCTGTTGGTACGTTGGAAATAAAGTGTTCTTCTGGGCAATGACAGAAAGGTGGGGGGGGATGATACTGTGCTGATGATATGCTAATGCACGCATATGCACACTTGCAATATCATAGAGAAAATTGCAGAGAGAAAGGCAGAGGAAGAAAAGCAAAAGAAAAAGGCGGCAAAGAAAGCGGCAAAAGGTAAAAAACAACATAATGGCACTATGTCTTCTTTTTTCAGTATACTGCAAGCCGTCCAATCCCCACCCTTTCCCGCCTATCCCTCCTTCCACACAAAACATCATTTTCTCTTGTCTACTTCTTTTACAAAGGCGTCGAAATCATGAAGTGCAAAGCGGTTTATAGCCAGGTTAGTGTCCCCTTGAAATGCCTTTCGCTATTATTTGGCATATCTCAGAAGTGGTTCCTAACGTTCTTCATTGAAAAAAATCAGTTTGCTGATTGATGAACATACATTTTCGCTTTTTTGAACGTTTGCGTATTAGATCGGAAAGCAAGGTATCGCCGCCCTCCAGCTGCATTATATCCAGACGTGCTTTGGAAAAGAAGACAGGAAATCGAAAACTCAAGACCAAAGGCTGCGACCCCATCGCTCGCACGGTTAAGTCAACGATCTCAACCACGTACATCTGCGCTACAGAGTCTTGCAAACCGAAATAATCCGGCCAAAATAGATGCTGACGATGGTACGAAACCGCCGTCTTCTTCAACATCCCTTCTTGGACTCGCAGCAAAGAAAAACAAGGAGACGAGAAAGCCGGCATCTGCACTACAGTCATTGGCTCAAAAGGCAGCTGGACAACGCGGCAAATCAGCTTTACAAAGTCTTGCATCTCGGCAACAGCAACAGCGTACATCAGAGAGCAACAACAATACTGCTTCTGCGGCTCCATCATCAACATCATCACCATCACCACCGCGCACATCACTTGCTGCACTCGCACAATCTGCCAAAACAGGACAACAGTCGCAGCAACGTACTACAAGTTTATCGCATCTTGCAACGCGCACAAGCTCGCGTCCACAACAGCAGCAGCTACAACAACAAACGGATAATAAGCTTTCATGTCTGGCTGGGCTTGCAAAAAGACAAAACGAGACATCATCATCATCATCATCACCACCGCTAAAACCAAAAGCAACAAAGGAACCTTCTCAACCAGCTACTGCTCAGCAACAGCAACAAGCGGCGAGAAATGAAGAAGAAAAAGAAAAGATAACGGAACAACAGCAACAGAAACAGCAAAAGGCGAAAACGTCGATAATACCCATACCCTCCAACCCACTATGCGCTCCACCTTCAGCAGCAGCAACCTTCCTATTTGAAAAAAATCCAGGGAAAGGAGATGCAACGGCAGAATCACAAGTGTTGTCGCTACCAGATTCCATTGGACAGGCATTCTATGAAGCAATGAAGGCGTCGGCTGATACCATCAACGTGTTTACGTTCAGTGTTCCGAGCCCGGATGATGTCGTTCAAGAAGCACAGAGTCACCGTAGTGGGGCACGCAAATTGTGATGACTTGGCTTATTCTTTTCTAGTTTCGTTATTGAAATTATCAATGCATACCTCTCTCTTCTCTCCATTCGCTCCTACACAATATTTCTGTTTTTTTTAACTGTCTTTTATCTGTTGGGCGGCTTGCATCGTATGATGTGTGTGTGGATGGAAATATCGAAAATCACCCCTTGTCTAACAGCGAATTCTTGAATATAGCAACTGCTGCTACGTCAACACAACAACAACAAACATCCAAGAATACAGCAAAATCCCCTCATTCTGCTATATCAAAGCAACAACAACAGCTACTAGAACAAGAAGATGATCAACTAGCCCAAGATATGCAAGGCTTGGGTTTCAATAAGAAAACACCAGGCAAAGTGTCTATTGCTTCCACGCCTGCATCCACGCCACCCGAAACACCACGGTCCGCATCGCCTTTATCCAAAGTTCCTGCTGCTAAACGGGTGAATGTGATGGAAGAATATGCCAAGCGCTCGGGTGATAAACCAAAGCTTAACCTGGTAGTGATTGGTAAAAATACACTTGATAGAACCTAACAAATACTGGGTTAATTGTGAAAGCAACTCACACAATCTTTTGGGTATAGGTCACGTGGATGCTGGCAAATCGACTTTGATGGGTCATGTTTTATATTCGCTTGGACAAGTCAACGATCGAACAATGAAAAAGTACGAGCGCGATGCACAAAAGATTGGCAAAGGATCGTTTGCATTTGCTTGGGTGCTCGATGAGACTGGAGAGGAACGCGATCGGTATGGTGCTTTCCTGGCTTTTGTTATATTAATTTTTTTTTTAGAAATGTGGTGTGGATCAACCCAGATATAACTGACTGTGGTTATCTTCATCCAGAGGTATCACAATGGATATTGCCATGAACAACTTTGAGACGGATCATAGAAGCTTTACGTTGCTTGATGCTCCGGGTCATCGTGACTTTATTCCCAACATGATTTCTGGAGCTGCTCAGGTACAATAGTAGTAGTAGTAGTAATTTATCATAGCCTTCTTTTAGTTCTAACGATTGAGATGTCTTTCTTATCTCTGTTTTTGATAGGCCGATGCAGCTATTTTGGTGGTGGATGCTAGTACAGGCGGATTTGAATCTGGCTTCGTCGCAAATGGTCAAACGAAAGAACACGCTCTTTTGGCTCGGAGCCTGGGTGTGCAGCAAATGATTATTGCTGTCAACAAACTCGATACGGTAAGTGGTGAATATGCGCCAAGACCGGATGTAGTGTTCGGAAGCAAAGGAAGGAGATTGGAGGGGCCAGAAGCTAATTGCAAGTTCAACAACCCAAAACGTGGGTAGTTGGATTGGGATCAAGGACGTTACAGCGAGATCGTCGAGAAACTGGGGAACTTTCTGACGCAAGCTGGGTTCCGCAAATCCAACCTTTCCTATGTCCCTGTGTCTGGGTTGACTGGGGAAAATTTAATTAAAAAGAGCGAATTAGTGCCGTGGTACGAAGGTCCATGCTTGATTGATCTGATTGGTATCGTATATTTTGCTATAGCCTATTTTTTTTGTGTATCTAGTTAGTTTTACAGAATAAGCTGATAAGCCTTCCCCATTCCATGATAGATGCATTCGAACCACCTGTTCGACAACTGGATAAGCCCCTCCGGATAGGCGTAACCGATTTCTTCAAAGGAGGTATCGGCAGTAGCGGCGGCGTTTCTGCAGGAGGAACCATTGACGCAGGCCATGTGCAGATGGGAGAACAGCTGATGGTGGTCCCAGGTGGCGAAATTGGCGTGATCAAAGCATTGCAAGTCAACGACGACACGGCGACGTGGGGAGCAGCAGGCGATTCAGTGCTAATGTCACTTACCGGTTTGGATATCATGAATTTGAGGTAATGTATGAGTACTTTGTACACGGTCTAGTGGTTGCTGATCATGTCTCCTAATACAGTTCCGGGTGTGTGCTGTGCAACCCACTCCATCCCGTTCCTGTCACTACGTCCTTCACTGCACAAATTGTTGTCTTTGATCTCAAGGTTCCCATCACCAATGGTTACCCGGTAATTATAGATTTCTAGGAAACATTATATGCTGACCTCATCTTGCATATACTCACGCACTTTGGCCTAACGATACAGGTTATCCTTCATCATCAAAGTTTGGACGAACCAGCTTCTATTGTAAAGCTTAACGCGGTTTTAGACAAATCAACAGGTGAAGTCATCAAACGGAACCCACGGTAAGTATACTCGGAATAAAGGGCTGCTGAAATAATGAAAGGGGAGGGTCGGCTTGCACAAATTGACACGTCTTGCATTCCTTAGTCACTTATCAAAGGGGATGACGGCCAAAGTAAAGATTCAGCTGACGAATCGAGCGATCCCACTGGAAACATTCAAGGAAAACAAGCAGCTCGGCCGGATTATGCTCCGCAAAGGCGGAGAAACAGTTGCAGCTGGTGTTGTGGATGAGGTGCGTACCAATGCTTCTGTTTCCCAAAATGGATCATGTTATTATTTTGGGCTCACCTTTTCGTAATGTTTTTGTGTAGATACTAAGCTATGGCTCTTAGAAAGAGCACAAAGGGCCATTGTAGCGAGCGATAGGATAGAGGTAGAAGAGCACGAATATATACTCAAACGACGAAATAAGTCCATATTCAAATATCCACCAAGAGTGTAACCCCTGAAACTGTGTGCAGCTTCTCGAGAGTCTTTCCGTGCATGCACATCGAAAGCAACTGTTTGCAACACAGTCTTCTATTTTGGCCATGCATGCTACATACAAAACCTATGGTGGTTGTTATTGCATTTTTTTCCCACCTTTCTTTTCGTTCTTCCTCTATGCTGCACCGCTTATTCGCCGCAACAGTAGTAGGCGTGCTAGTCCTGGCCTTCACTTCGTCAGCAATACCCGTTGACAATAACGTCGACAACAATGAATCACATATAGCGCAACAAGCAGCAACACCAACAGCGAAAATCGACGACGACGATGACGACCAAGAAGAGTCACTCGTCGCTTCACTATTGATGATTGCGGTATCAGAGCTGGGCGATAAAACGTTCTTAATAGCAGCAGTGATGGCCATGAAGCATCCACGGTTGGCGGTGTTTGTGGGTGCATTCTCTGCACTATCGTTAATGGCAATTTTATCATCCTATCTCGGTCACGTTGTGCCAAACTTACTTCCAAAGCAGTACACGGACATCATCGCTGCTGTTCTGTTTTTCTTTTTCGGCATTCGCATGACTTTGGAAGCTCGTCGTATGAAACGCCAAGAAGAGATACAACAGCGACACTGTGGCAATGGCCACGATGAAGTAGAAGAGGAAGAGAGCAAAACGGAACTACAGCAGTATATGCTACCAGAAGAAGGAGACGACGACGAGGAGGAGCATGAAGAAGAAAAGAAAAAGAAGCGCCAACAACAGCCGGTTTTGGTGGAGGCATTTGTGCTTACCTTCTTGGGCGAGTGGGGAGATAAATCGCAGATATCGACGATTGCTTTGGCAGCTTCCAATGTAAGCTTACACATAAGCAGATTGATTGTCAGCATGTTACATCACCCACCTGATGACAATTTACTCCCAATAACTAGAATGTCTACTGGGTGGCATCAGGCGTCATCGTCGGCCATGGCATATGCACAGCTCTAGCAGTATTAGGGGGACGGCTGATTGCAGATCGTATTTCTGTTAGAACAGGTTAGGGACCACCAAGAAATCCAGAAAATCAAGGTTTTCAAGGAGTAGTATAGTAGTGCTGCTTCCTCAGTCACCACCATCAGAAATCCTAACTCTTTTTTTTTCTGATCGACTGCCATGTAGTGACCATGGTTGGCGCCATGATGTTTATCGCCTTTGGGATCGTGTACAGCCACCACGCCTACCGAGAGAATAGCAGCACATGCACTGATATTGGCTGCGTGTAACGACTGGCTATTATTTCTTCTAAATTAGTCCTTTTTTCTTTTTGGACATAAACGAGATGTTCCCATTCTGGGCATAAACTCGTTGACGCGGTTACACGAGATTCGTTGGGCGAAGGATGTACAAGGAAAAGTGATCGACGAGAAATAGAAAAAGGGCATACCCCTCCCCCCCTATAGACAGTGCCCCCACCCAAGCGTACTTTCTGTTTTTTTTTCTGTTCCATCAGCAGCAACACAGTAGAAAGACAAGTGTTGAATACAAACAAGACGATCTGCCTTCTTTCTTTACCATCTGCTTACTGGCGACTGCTGCTGGCCCAGCAACTGGCGAAACAGGTCCAAGAAGAAGAAGAAGATGAATAAAGTTAATAAAAAGTAGTTGTTCCCGGTATACATACAGACACAGACACACACACACATGCATACACCCAAAATGAACACGAGTGCAATTGCTTTTTTGCTGTATTTGGGTAATTTACGTATTCTCCCTCTCCTCCCCTCATCCATGCTTCTTTCCAGTTCAGCGCCAGGCGCTTGTCGGGATAAGAGAGAGAGTGAGAGCGAGGGACAGCTGGTTCAATGTTACACACTGCACGCTAAAGCTTAATGGAAAGATCGCAATATTCTTTTCTGAAAGACGATTTACCGTCTTAAAGTTTGGCTCGCTTTTCTGTATTTTTAATCCTCTTCTTCTTCTTCTTCTGCTACTCATCCTCTCCTTTTCTTTTGCTACCTCTTCGTCCTCCATCTTCCATCCATCCACCCCTCCTTCTCTCTCTCTCTCTCTCTCTCTCTCTCTCTCTCTCTCTCTCTTACACGCACACATCTGCTCTTCTTCCTCTTCTAACCACGTCAGGTGCTACCCTCTTACAAACACACACCTCCATGTCATTCCTTCACGTTCGGTCGCTCAAGCGCAACCGACTTTTACGCAGACTCGCCGTCTTTTCCCTCCTCACAGCACTCACCTTCCTGTTTGTATCATGGCTTACAGCCAGTCCACTCATTGAGGAGCAACGTCCGCCAAGCAAACCACGCTACGGACACGTCAAAGAGCACCACCACACAAACACTGGCGAAGTCGATGTCACTGTTCCGCGCGACTTTGTCCTCGACTCCATTCGCCGCATCCGCAAAAAGAATCGACCATCACAACGAGTCTTCGAACATACCAAAAACAACAAGAACGACGACAGCTACAACAAGAACGACGACAGCGACAACGACAACGACAACGACAATCGTGACGAACTTCAAACTTATCCCGAAGATAAAGTGTACAGAAAGGACGCAGACGACGAGTTTTTGCCACCAGGCGACGGTACCGGCGAGGACGAAAAGTACATTAGCTTCTATCCTCATTCCGGCTTCCACAATCAGCGAATTGCTTTGGTGAACGCGCTCATGCTCGCCGAACGGCTGAATCGGACTCTGCTGTTACCACCTGTGGTCTTGGGTGAGCCAATTCACTGGCGCAAGTACGATTCGCTCGAGTCATTCCATCGACGCATGACCAAAGCTCATCTCGACTCGTGTCGAGAGTATATTGAAATGCCGGAGAATGCCCCGGAAAAGTGCCTTGCATCGTTTCGTTACACATCGCTGAGGTGGGACAGACTGTTTGATATGTCGGCCATCAAGCAACGTGTTAGGATTCGCTACCGCGACGACTATCATCGGACATATCTGCAGCGCAAGTACAATATTACGACGCAGGGCACATACCATGTCAAGGACACGCTGCTTTACGACTATCGCATCGCAGATCAGTCTGGGCAGCCACTGCAGAAATACCAGCGCGAGCTGTTCCTGCGGGATTTACAGGAGGTACCAGAACGACACATTAGCTTTGGCTCCCTTTTCGGCACAGGGCGCGTGATGTATTCCACGCCCGAAAGCCAGGAACTGCGGGATTTCCTGTTCAAACAGTTCGTCTTTTCCCGCAAGGCGTTGCCTGATCTGTTTGATGAGGCCGAAGCTATCATCCGCCGGATAGGCGGTTCCGGTACCTACGTCTCGATGCATGCTCGTGTCGGTGATAGCATCTTTGAACGCTTCTCGGGCGATGTTATGGGCAAGCTGTGGAGGGATCTTCAGAAATACGCGCCGCTTGTGCAACAACCGCGCACAGAAGGTTGCTTGGCACCACCCCCTTCGTCTCCAGCCTCTACTTCTTCTTCAACAACAAACAACAACGCTATCAATTGGGACTCCCAGACAACCTCGCGACCGCTGGTGGTGTTCATGGCAACAGATTCGTCGGATCCACACAATGACCCGCTGTTTGAGCAAATCTTCCAGCTGTTCCCTTGCATCGTCACACTCAACGACATGTTTGACTTCAAGTCGAGCAAGCTGTCCACGATGGTCAATCCGGAAGACGGTGTCCATTATGGCAACTTCCTCGTGCCGTTCCTTGATGGTCTGATTGCGAGCCACGCCCAGGAGTTCACCGGATCCATGTGGAGCACTTTTAGCTCCTATATCAAGTTTCTGCACAAGCAGTACCGACTGATATAGTCTCTTATGATAATCACACTCTCCTTCAATAACATCCTCCATCTCACCCATCCCACACAGACACTCATCCCCTCCTCACCTCCCCCCCCAACAAACATCATCTTCTTCGCTCCAATATAAAAAACACGTCCTAACTCTGTAATTTTATCCTCCACCTACCACCCCCTATCTTGCTCCTGTTTTTCGCTTTCCACTTATTTGTTCTCATGTAAATTTGTTTTATATGCCATTTTTTGCTTTCAAAATATACTTTGTTTCTTTTCTTCTGCTTTCTTTCGCACAAAAACAAGCACTTTTATCATCTCGCAAACAACAATAATAAAAAAAAGAGAAAGATACGAAAAAAGCCAAAACTAGAATGTTTCATCGTCATAATCTTGATGATGTCCTCCTGCTGCTGTTGCTATCGTCCCTCCTCCTCCTCCTCCTGCAAGTTCATCCTCTTCAGGTGGGACTTCAAAGCCATCCTAGATTGACAATAACCACCAGTATTAGTAAGAAATGAACTCTGCTCCAAACAACGTAGAAAGAAAGCAGTTTTACCTCGGTGCTGTACAACACTGCCTGAATCTCTTTGAGAACAGGGGCATCGGGCGCCTCGCCATTGTGGGCCAGTCCCTTTGCTTCCAGATCATCCAGCTGCTCTTGTACTAGTATCTCGATATCGCGAAGCTTGCCAAAGTAAAAATCCCGTTCTTTTTCCAGACCATCCACAGTCACCTTGAGCTCGGCCAACTGTTTGTTCAGATCAATGATCATGGACGAAGAGTGATTATCCATGGTCGCTGCGCTTGCGCTGCCTGAAGATAAACGTCCCGAGGTAGTCGATGCAGCGCGGCTGGTTGTACGTGCTGGTTTTTTACATGTATAGACAACACATACTCTTCTTTGAGCATTTTCTTTTTTTCCAATCCAAGATGGATCAGGGAAAGTAAAAGTAAAGAAACTTACTTGAGCCACTGCCGCCTCCTGACTTGCGGGCAGGTGGAATGGCACCAGTACGCACAGCTTGGGCCTTGGCTGCACCACTCTTGCGTCGAAGCACAGCATCGTACTCGCCTCCCGGGTAGTTTTCGTCCCAATACCGCTTCAACCATTGAACAAACTCGAGGTTATCTTGGAACTTGCACTTCATCAGTTTGTCGACTGGAATGATCTATATTTCAGCAGAGGAAAGGTTATCAGCCCATATTGTTTGCTAGTACGCTAGACCCCCTTCTCTTTTCCCCGCCTGGTAGAGAAGGGGAAGTAGGGGTGGGGGGCTAATCCAAAGTTTACTTGCCTTGTCAATTCTATGCAAAGTAATGGATCAGTATGCAAAAGTGTGAATGACGCGTCTTGACCCCAAAACCATTCCATTTTTTCGGTTACCTCTCTCTCTTTTTCACTTACTTGTGCTTGTCAAATATATGTTGAAGAACCTTGTAGTTGCCCACATATTCGTATTCATGCTTAGTCTCAAATTTGACCTTGGTTAAGTGGACGTCACCTAATAACATACACACAAGGGGAAGGGGGTTTCCCCGTAATGAGTACTACTCGTTTAGAGATCGCTCAACCCGTTCAATTTAAAAAAATGAATACTTACGAAAGATTGAGTCCATGACTTGACAGTACGCAGCACCTATATCAAAGAAAGGAAAAATCGGCTTTCTTAATCACAAAGTTACTTGATTCACCACCGAAACCTTTTTCTTCGTGTTTTTGCTCATCTCGGGTCACTCGATTAGTAAGCTATTCGCAAGAAGAAAACAGCCAATTACCCGTGCCAGCCTGCTCTACTTTTCTATAGTTTAGCTGAAGCAGCTCGTTGAGCCAAGCAACCAGTTCCGTTCGAGATTCACCCATGAGTTTTTCTTGGATAGTAAGATTCGGGAAGAAAAAAGAAAGAGATCGAGGGGAGAGAGGGAAAAGAAGGGAAAGAAGAAGGTAGAAGAAACGTAAGAAGAGACGGGCAGCAAGCTAGGAGCTTTGCATTGCTGCTCCCTGACTGCTGTTGATGATGAGCTGGCCTATGTATAGCAAGACAGACGCGTTGTTTGTGTGTGAATGGGGGTAGCACACACATGTGCTGTGTGGCGGATTTCTTCTCCGTCACCTCCGCTTCATGCAGCCCGGTATGCGTGCCGCTGTAAACATCCCATTCCATGTTGTATACACTCCTCGCTTTGCTTTCTGCCGTTTCAAAAGAAAGACGAGAGTAGCAGTGGTGATAGCTGTCTACTCTGCTGTTAAATGTACACAGTGCATCAGAGAGCAAGGAATGAACATGTGTACTACCCAGGGAATGTTTATGCTTGTCACAAACAAGCAGAGCAGGACTAGCATGACAGCTTACGACTAGTTTGGCAAAGTGCCTCGTTGACTTCTGGAATACACAACATTTCTATTATAGAACAAGTAGGCTCATCAAGCGCGTATTTATAAATAACAAGGGCACAGAAGAGAGATGCAGACAGCTGCACCTTGATTATGTATCACTATTACTTCCTGATTTTGCTACGATTAAGAGGTTGCTCTTCCTTTGATGATACAAGTACACAGACCCTATAGAAGAAATCGAGAGCACACATACTGTATAAGATACACGACTGCTTGCGGTATATTAAATTTTGCTCGTGTGCGACGTAGCACCACAATGAACTTTGGATCACGACTCACGTTGTACAAAGAGACATGACGAACGGTTCTGTACTCATTGGTTTGTAGTAGAAACTGTATACTACGACAATTTAGGTGTTGAATGTTGTATGTAGGAGGGATAGGTACTAGCGTTCAGGATTGCATACTTGCTCTTTTCCCTCGGATTTTACTACTGTTACAGTTTAACTACATATTTCTGTTGACTATCCCCTGATACAAAAAAACTTCACCCTTAATGGCTCGAGCTGCGTGACAGGTTTAAAAGAACATTTTCATTAACAAGAATGAGCACATTATCGTCAAAAGCTACAGCAGACGAAAGTGATGTATTTAGTAATACCTTGTATCTTGTAGAAAGCTTTTTAAGAGTTACCTCAACTAAATTTTACTGTCTTGTTATATTACGTAGATATATTCATCAGCTATTAAAAATCATCGATTCAAATTGATCCCTTATTAATCTACGCTGTAGAGTTTGATTCAATAGACCAAATGTCTTCTACTGTATTGCCCTTACTAGTTTGTCGTTGGAGGATAAATGATAGTACACTATAACACTGGTAGCTTGCTAATTCTGTATGATAACTAATTTAAAGTGTCTGGAAAAGAAAAGAGAAGAAAATACAGACGATGCAATACGTCGTTTGCCTTAATAAACTGTTTTTGTCTAGCACGCATTTCAGGTATCTAGTCACCAATTGCTCCAAGCAGGAGTAGGAGGATCGTCTATACTTAGGCGCGACTATAGGCGATTGTTGTTAGACACAGCCTTGTAAATCTCGATAACACCGATGCCAAAAGATGCAGCCTCATCGCGACCATGTGTGTTCTTGTTACGCCAAGGGCAGCTGTGGATTGGTGCAGTGAATCGCTCCGTGATCCCAAAAGTTTAAATTTCCCGTTTGTTGTCGTTTGTGGCTGTTCGGATACTTAAATCGACCTTCCAAGACCCTGTAAGGTTTCAAATGGTCTAGAAGGACATCTAAAATTTAGGATCGTTGGCTGGTTTGACTTACCGTCGATCCGGTTCTTTTGGTGCTTCGTAGGCAGGTGGCACGCGGAGAATGAGTGGATGCTTTGACACTTGTTTGTGGTGATGACCTTGTCGTGTGCATAGGTAGCATTCAACTGTTTGCTGTAGTTTTGCATTGACTCCTCGACTGTGTTTCTTTATCTGATAATTGGCTTCATTTCATGTCCCTTTAATAAAAGAGTGTTTGTTTGCTATATCATAGGTACGCTGATTCGTTACGAAGACTCCACGTTGGTACACACCGGCGATCCGAAATGGTACATGATTATGCCGAACATCCGAACAACAGGGAAAGATGTACAGTACAGTACGCCACATTTACATCATGAGGACAAAGTTTAATCTAATATCTCTGTAGAAAGAAATTCAATCAAACGAATTTATAATGTAGTCAAATGCTTCCTCTTACTTATAAAAAATATATGCCTATGACAGCGAGTTGATGTCAACAGCAGCTATATCAGTTAACTCGGAGGAAACTGAAACGGGACACGCTTGACAGAAGCTCAGCTCCTTGAACCAACGAAACTATCAACCCTGACGATATCGTCGTTGCTCGGGCCGGGTGTTGAGGAAAATGTAGCATTGAACGAGCATGGCTTATTGGATCGAAAATTACAGTGTGTTCAAGTAATAAACACGCTTCATCTCCGTTTGGGTCCCAACAACAACGCCAAACAGTTGTATCGAGCAACGACATTACACAAAACATGTGTAGACATCTACCCGAACACTCGCATAAAGCTTGCGAGCTAGGTAAAATGTTTCGCTCTTCAACAAAGCCCGCTTAATGCAGATCAAAGACCGGCGTAAAAAACGCCTAATGTTTGCTGAGCCTTGGATATCGTGGCAATAATAGCTGCTGTATATATTTAAATCATATTTACTCGTGAAAAAAAAAAAGCGATATGATAGCAGTCTTAATAGAGCAAATCGAACAATCTTTATCAAGGGTACGTATCAAAAAGAGCTTTATGGGCTGAAAGCCAGCAGCAATGGGATAATCAGTTGTGTATGTACCCAAATAATGACCAAAGGGCGGTAAAACAATGGACGACCGTGTACTGCTGTAAAAAATGGTGTGTGGAAGGCTAAGAGAACGATATAAAGTGACAAAGATGTATGTTTCGGCGCCATGTTGACACTACAGAGAAAGGTATACTGTATCAATGCGACACGAAGAAATTTGAATGAATTAAGTATCCGTACATGGAATTGTCATTTTTACGGTGTATTTTCGTTTTTTTTAAAACTCTGCCATCGATCAAGGATTCCGCTTGATTATTGTATATATCATCATTTCTCTTGCCATGTCTTCGTCCGCTCATGCTAGGTCATATCTTATAAAGTATCCGCAGATGATGCTGAAAGGCTGAACCTCTATGATTGGTTGGATGTCGCCCCTTCTCTTCCTGTACTATGATAGAGGTGAATCGAATGATGGCTGCACAAATTGTCTGACGATGTTTCAATACGGCGCTTATACTTATAAAGGAGTATTCCATAAAGTAAGAAGGATAAGTAATTGTTATGACATATCAATATCATATGTATTATATTTTACTCACATAATGGATGATTTGGCTGAATTATGTATCTAAAACTTATTCCATTTGGAGTTTTTTGTAAAGTTGTTAAACCAATATGTTCTTTTTTCTTGTCGAACACGTGAATAACAGGGTTTGACAGGTTACACTTTCTAAACATAGCATATCGGTACCAATTTATCAGCCATGAGTAAAACGGTCAAATTGAATTGGTGTATGCTTTTACTACTGGTCCTTTACCGTGATAATAGCTCGTTCGGATACTAAGAGTATTTTTAACTTATTATTCAAATAAAAAAATCAAGTGGAAGATGCATTGATCAAGCACGCAACCCCCAAAAGCTTGTCCGTTCAAGACATGCAAGAAATATTTCATCCTATAATAACAGCGATACATCGTGCTTGCAGCTGAACACGACAAAGACGCAAAAAAAAGTTGTATGCATGTCCTTGATCAATGATATACCCAGACTCTAGCTGCTTTAGCTTCTGACAATTATTGCCATCCTTTTGGACACTTTTCTACAAAGGTTTTCAGATAATTGATGATATATACGAATTAAACAATGTTCATACATCTCCAGAAGAAGCATGCAGGAATATAGGTAGGCAATACTTGTTTTTATATATTTGACGTCAAAGCATTAGAAGAAACTTATTAACTCTTAACGCTGCTTATAGGTGCCATAAGGAAGGTTCAGCAAAAGAATTGCCATGTGTTTAGACACTGTCGTGGAAGACGCAATAGTAGTCTCGAACATGAATTTTGCGGACCTCAGTAGCCAAGTCTGAATTGTCTCCATTTCATATATTTTTTACAGACGCATTCTTGCACATCTTTAATTTCTCACTGCGCTTATACTTCAACAGCAAAAGCAACTCATACTTCAGTCGCTCCAAACTAATGTATGAGGCTATGTCGCACCTTTTTTTCCCTCTTACATACATGAATCTTTTCACTTTGCTGCAAGCAAGATTACATATACCGCATTTAACACGATTGAAAAATATTACGGGTTTTCGATAAACAATGCTTAGTGTATCCGTCATCCTTGCAATGTAATTACAAGACAGTTGTGGGTATATTGTATTGCTAAACTTGATTTGTACTACTGTAGCTTACATTTTACACGATGGAGTATGATAAAACAATGTAGTAACTGGCACTTCCCGAAAAGAAAGTGTACATTGCAGCAGTTCCCTTTTTCAGTCCCGCAAAGAAGGGAAAAGCAAAGATTTGTTCCAAGAAGTAATGTTTGCATAATTTTAAATGAAAGTTTATGTATGCAACTTTCGTCACTCTTCGTTTTGGGACAATGAGTACAGCTACGGCAGTATATTTTGCTAAAGACTTGGTTGTATCATATTGAAATAACACGTTTGTTTGCTGCTTGATGGCGTTGCAATCACAATATAGTCATATGGCACCATGTTCCATAGCAACCAACTTAGATCGCCGAATGACGTTTTTTGACATGCGTTCCCTAGCAACAGTGTTTATCGTTTGCTTGCCGGTGCATATTATGATACTTGAGTTATTATCAAACAGCTGCTCATAATTGGGATGATACATTGAACCAAGAGTCCTATGATAAGAAATCAAGCATGACTCGTACATCAATTTATGTGGTTTCTTAACGTTGTTTTGTCTATGGTGCAATAACATAGACAAAATGACGATATTGATAATATTCGTTTATAATATATTCTACAAAAACGTTGAAATGGTACCGTCCTTCGTGCTACTTGTTATTTGGGTAAGGTTTGTCTGTAATGGTAACAAGATTACTTTATCTCTTAAAGTACTTTAAGATACCGTTCTATTTCATTGAGGATGGCTGTTCTAAATAGAGCAGCACATATGAGTCATTCAGATCGGTTGGGGGTTCTTTTGCTGGCTTCTTGCTGCGGTTAAAGAGAAAGGTATTATTTCGAGTGTTGTGTGAGAAAAGATACCCAAGAAGGAGAAGCCACAGTTTTGATCCGAGATCGATTGGTAACATCTGTGCTTTTTGTGCACATATGTAATGAGTATGCATTATGTAGTACAGGTAATCCGCGGTTGCAAGTACTATTGTATGTACTATAGGAAATACCGAGCTTCTTTTCCACGGCGGCCGAGAAGGACGATTGAAGTGAAACCGTCACTCTTACCCCGCACGCTAAAATGATGAGAATATTGATGACCATTTACAGAATATTTCTGTGCACCTTGGACATAAGAACAAAGGAGGATTCATGCTATCATTGTAGAAGAAGTTCCAAATTAGGGCAACAACCGACAGTACGCTTCGAAAGTGTAACCTTCGACCATTTCGGAAGAAGTGCGGGCATGTCGCTAATCTTCATTACAAAATAAAAAAAAAGCGATTGCGAAAGTACCCTAGATGAAGACAAGCTCCGCGGAAATGGGGTATATTTTTCTGTGCAACGCAGGTATTTTCGTCAACAAGAAGCTGTCTGCCTATTAATTTTGAAGAAACTACAAAAAGACAGCAAACTTTCTTCTTCTTCTTCTTCTTTTCTCTTGCTTTCATCCTTGTCTACTGCATAAACTGTAAATTAAACAACACATACATACCACTCATATACCATGTACAAGCGGATCGACCATAACAACCTCAAAGCACAGCTCGGCCAATGTGTTGGTAAATATCCACTCTGCATGAAACAATAGCAGCATGTATAGTGTATGTGCGTGCATTACCATGGTAACAGAGAAGTCTAAATCATCTACGGTGTATTTTAGATTTGGCTACCTCAGCTATGGGTGGCAGCATTGTCGCAGTAACCGACGAGTTTTTCGCACCCGCCATCAGAATGATCGATGCCGCACCCGCTGTGAGTGCCCCTGGCAAATTCGACGATCACGGCCAGTGGATGGACGGTTGGGAAACAAAGCGCCATAACCAACGAGACTACGACTGGTGCATCATCAAACTCGGATTCGCCGGATCAGTAAGCGGATTCGATATCGATACCAGCTTTTTCACCGGCAACCAGGCGCCTGCTGCGTCTGTGGATGCCGTTTTTTGCCCCGAGGGCGAGGACCTCGACAATGCACAGTGGACAGAGATTTTGCCCCGCGTCGATTTACCTCCGTCGTGCCACAATGCTTTTGTCCTGAACAACGCAACCAAGGTTTTCACTCATGTCCGCATCAACAACTACCCCGACGGTGGCATTGCTCGCTTCCGTGTTTACGGTCAAGTGGCTCCTCAGTGGCCCGCAAACGTTTCGTAAGTTTATTTTAAAGATATATTTTTTAAAAAGGGGGAATGAGCTTTGTTTTTCTTACACACTAGTAATTAGCGAGGTTTTGGATTTGGCATATGTGGGCTATGGCGGTCGTGTTGTCTCTGCTACGGATGAGCACTATGCACCCGCAAGCAACATTCTCTTGCCTGGCCGTGGCAAGGACGCAGACGACGGATGGCAGACCAAGCGATCCCGTGTGCCAAACCATAACGACTCCGTAGTCATCCGTCTCGGAGCCAAGGGCCACATCTTGAAGGTCGAGGTCGACACATCCGATTTCAAGGGCAACTATCCCAACCGGATCAAGTTGGAGGCCACCAACACCAATGCCGAGGTGCCTGATGCCAGCAGTCAGTGGGTCACCGTGGTCCAGCCCTCATCCACAGGTCCTCACGGCCAGTTCTACTTTGATGCTTCGCACACTGACCAAGTATTTTCGCACGCTCGTGTTAGCATTATTCCCGATGGTGGCTTCAAGCGCATCCGCCTGCACGGCGTGCGTCAAGGAGGCCAAATCCCTAGCCTGCCTCTCCCCAACTTCCCCAAGCGCATCATCGTGGCCGAACCCTTGACGTCCGAAAAGTATGCGCCTTTCGGTGAAGTCATTGAGGCTAAGCTGAACATTAAAGTCACTGGTGCCAACCAGGGCACTGCCAAAAAGTTCCACCATGTCGCCAAGGTCACCAACGCCTTCCCCAACGACAGCGGCAAAGTCAACCTGTGCGTCTTCCGCAGTTCCCCCACCAAAGAACTTCCATTCAAAGTCAAGTTGTTTGAACGTCATCCTTACTCCAGCCAGCAGTTCGTCCCCATGACCAACGGAAAGACACGTGGCTACCTGGTCATCGTATGCTTGAATAACGAGGATGGATCGCCCGACTTGACCACCACAAAGGCATTCATCGCCTCGTCCACCCAGGGCATTAGTTATAGACGCGGTGTATGGCACCATCCCATGATTTCCTTAGAGCATGAAACTGACTTTGCTTGCCTTGTGCACGAAAACGGCACCCCTAACGATGATTGCCAGGAAGCTTATGTAGACGGCGTCGTTGTCCAGGTGCCTGGATTCCAAGGCAACTCGAAAATATAATCAAAAGTAATATTAAAAAGTAATAAAATTTGTTTGAATTTTTGGATCCTAGTCTCTTCTTTTTCTTCTTTTGTACATCTTTTTTTTTTTTCAAACTACAATGGCAAAAATAACTGAGGCAGATATGGAGGACGTGGACGTGCAAGAAAAGCAAGTGAAAGACGAGAAATCGCCGGTGGTGGAAACATCTGCTGCAGAGGTCAAAGAGGAACAACGAGAAGCGGATGAGGACGGTGACGTGTTTTATGAAAGCGTGGATTACACATCCAAAGAATTGGAGGTAAAGTTTTGAGGAGAGGAAGAACAAAAGATCACACAGATTTGGGAAAAAGCTGATCTGGAGTAAGCTCATAGCGATTAATTGCGGAAGCCACAGAATACAAAAAGAAAGGAAATGAATGTTTTGCACATGGCGACTATGAAAAGGCGATTCAAGAATACGAGCAAGCACTGACCGTGTGTCCGGTGGCGGTGCCTAAAGAGCGGGCGATCTATTTTGGTAACATTGCCGCCTGCCATTTAAAGTTGGTAAGGAAGCAAGTACCTCCTTTGGCTGGCGCCCCCTTACTTTAGGATAGAGTCTAACGTCGAAACAACAGAGCAAATACACAGATGCAAGGGACATGGCGACAAGTGCATTAGAGCTGGATCCCAGTTACACCAAGGTGATCCTGCGTCGAGCTCAGGCCAACGAAAAGCTTGGATCGTACACGTCGTTATCGGACGCATTAAAGGATTATGAACAGCTGAGCGAACAGGTCAAGCTGGACAACTATACCAAACGCGAATGCGCTCGCGCCAAGCAGCAGCTACCTGGATTGATCAAGGAGCAGATGGAAAAGGAAAAGGACGAAATGATGGGCAAGCTCAAGGACTTGGGCAACACTCTGCTTGGCAAATTTGGGTTATCGACAGACAACTTCCAGTTGCAGCAGAACCCTGGCAGTGGCGGCTACAGTGTCAACTTTGTGAATAAATGATGAATGTGGTCTGCTCAACGGCTAAACCTTTTGTGCAAAGCGGAGTTGTGCACGGCAATGTTTCAGGAAGAAGCCGGACGAATGGCAGCACAACAAGTAAAAACTTGATTGGGTGGGCACTGATAAAAAAAAAAACACAGTGAGGGAAGGGCACTCAAAAGACTCAAAGAGTGGGTTCAAAAGGGCAAAGCCAAAATTTGTTTGGGGGAGCCTTCGTCCCGTCCGGGCCATTGTAAGAAAGGCCAACTTTGGGGCAGCCCCATTTTTACAGTACCGGATATACAAACTCTGGCATGTAAAACCTGGCGCTTGTTGACTCCGACCCATTGGCCCCGACAAAAAATTATAGGCAAACTAGGGCAAAGACAGGCCAGGCAGGTTATCCGGAAAGGCGAAACAAGGGATTTGAAAGCAGAAAGGGTCTGTCAAAAAAATTGTTTTCCATCTCTTTTCCTTGCTTCTTGGTTTTTTTTTGTTGGGGGAGAAAAAAAAAAAAACACACCAACGCTCAAGGAATTGTTATATCGAGGGCTATCCTATCTTTTGTGTATTTTTGTTTCTCTTCATCATCTCTGTACTTCTTTATATTGCATAATACTTTCCTCCCGTTTCTTTTTTGCTTCGTTTCGTTTTCTATCTTGCTGCTGGTACGTACTTACTTGCCTTGTTGTTGTAGCTCTGGCTGCTGTGGATGATGGCTAACTGCATTCTTTTATAGCATCCCCATCCTCACATACATCTTTGACTCCATCTCTTCTACAACAACAACAACAACAACAACGTATCCACCACTCGACAACTACTACCACCACCACTACTACTACTACTACCGCTATACAAACACCAAACGTATCACACATAAACTACAATCATGAGTCATCAACAAGTCCTCCGTCCTCTCTCTGTCAAGCAGAACAAAACCGAGGTGTCGATCCTCGTCCCTGCCGATATCTGGGTCTCGGCTGAACAACTCAAAGAAGAGTTTCCTATCAATGCAGAAGAAGAAATTGAAGAAATCACAGAGATCGAGCTTGCCGCTCGCTTCATGCGCTTTGTCGCTTCGAGGGCTTCCAAGGAGCCTCAGTTCTTACCCGTCGCACGGACGGCCTTTTTGGATTTCCGTAGCCAATACCTCAAGAACAACGACGTGCATGCCATCACTCGCCACTTGTCACCCGAGTCTCGAAGTGTCGTCATCCAGGCCTACTTTACCGCCTTGGTGCTCCTCAAGAACGACACCGTCAAGACTCCCGAGAGCGCGCTCTTTGCCGCTGCCGCTCGCGGCGACACCAAGATCTTTGCTGCCTTTGGTGGTCAAGGCAACATTGAAGAATATTTCGACGAACTCGCTGATATTTGGACAACATACCAAGGCTTGGTGCGCTCCTTTGTCGAGCGCATGGCCGTCGTCTTGGCCGAACATGCACGCAGCTCCGAGGCCAGCGTCTTTCACTCCAAGGGTTTGGATGTCGTCCGCTGGTTGGAGAACCCAGAACTGCGTCCTGATCTTGAATACCTCGTATCCGCCCCCGTCAGTTTCCCGCTGATTGGCTTGACCCAACTCCTTCACTACTATGTCATGCTCAAGGTACTCGATCGTTCGCCCGCAGATATCAGACAACTCTTGGCCGGTTAGTATATGGATTCAGTAGTATTAGGGGGAGGGGGAGAGAGAGAGTGCATGTACACAGAAACTGACACCATTTGATGTTACAGGTTCAACGGGTCACAGCCAAGGTATCATATCGTCTGCAGTCATCTCTTCGTCCTCGACTGAAGAAGACTTTATCCGCAATGCCGAAAAGGCATTCGGTCTGCTTTTCTGGATCGGCACGCGTGCCCAGCAAGTATTCCCTCCGACCACCTTGAACCCAACCATTTTGGAAGATTCACTATCCAACAACGAGGGCAACCCCACCCCGATGCTGGCCATCACCGGCCTGCGCGAGGAGCAGGTCCTGAAGCACCTCGATGCAACCAACGCTCACTTGGCACCCGACCGTCAGATCAAGGTTACCTTGTTTAACGGTCCTCGCTCTTTTGTTTGCACTGGTCCTCCTCAGTCACTCTATGGTCTCAACCTTAGTCTGCGCAAGCTCAAAGCCCCGACAGGCCTGGAACAATCCCGAGTGCCATTCTCGCAGCGCAAGCTCAAGTTCTCCTCCCGCTTCTTGCCCATCACTGCACCTTTCCACAGCAACTATCTCGATGAAGCCACCGGTATTTTGAAGGAGGATATTAAGCGCGGCAACCTTGGATTTGATGCAAAGGACTTGGAGATTCCTGTCTTTGCTACTGATTCCGGTATGTTCATTTTTTTTATGGGGAAGGGAAGGATGGAAAAAAAAACCAGTCGGAGTTTGTTTTGCTATTACTGCCTCCAACTTTTTTTTTTTGGGTCAATGGGGCGTTGGGGCATAAATATCAAAGAAACTTTGCCCTAACCTTGGAACTATTGTTGCTGCGATAACAGGTAACGACTTGCGATCATCGAACGATTTGACGCTTGACTTGGTGTCGCTTATCTGCTCGCGCCCTGTGCATTGGGAAAAGGCCATTGCCCTGAATGATCTTACCCATATCGTCGATTTCGGTCCTGGCGGTGCTTCGGGCATTGGTGGCTTGACCCACCGCAACAAGGAAGGAACTGGTGTGCAAATCCTCTTGGCCGGTGCGCTTGAAGGCGGCAACCGCGATCTGTCTTACAAGGCTGATTTGTTCGACTCCGATCTTCGTGCTGTCACATACTCGCAGGACTGGGCAAAGGCCTTCCAGCCTAAGCTTGTCAAGACGACGAGGTGAGTTACGACTGCTGGAACTAGGGAAAGAAAATACGGGTAAAAATTATAGGTAGATGAAGGTTATTAACTCTGGTTTCTATAGCAACGGCCGTATCCACGTCGATACCCGCATGTCCCGTTTGTTGGGTAAGCCCCCAATGATGGTTGCTGGTATGACGCCATCCACCGTCAGTGAACACTTTGTCTCAGCCGTCATGAACGCTGGTTACCATGTCGAGCTTGCTGGTGGTGGTCACTACAACGAAAAGATGCTCCGCGCCAAGGTAGACAAGATCATGGAAATGACTCGCCCCGGTGAAGGCATCACCCTCAACATTCTCTTCTTGAATGTCCGCCAATGGGGCTTCCAATACCCATTGATCCAAGTGATGCGCAAGGAAGGCTTGCCTATGGAAGGTGTTTGCGTTGCCGCCGGTGTTCCTTCGTTGGACGTTGCCAATGAAGTTATCGCCAACCTTCAGGAATCAGGCATTCGCCATATCGCATTCAAGCCAGGCAGCATCGATACGATTCGTCAGGTATTGTATCACACACATTTATGCAATTTTGGGGATTTGGAGCGAAAACATTGTGTGTAACCATCAATTTTTTTTTTTGCAACTTTCTAGGTCGTTTCCATTGCTGCTGCAAACCCTACCATGCCCATCATCATGGAATGGACTGGTGGCCGTGCCGGTGGCCATCACAGCTTTGAAGATTTCCATCAGCCTATTCTGGAAACCTATGCTTCGATCCGTCGTCAGCCCAACATTGTGCTTTTGGCCGGCTCTGGTTTCGGTGGCGCCGATGATACCTTGCCCTACTTGACTGGTGATTGGGCATTGAAGTTTGACTATCCTCCCATGCCTTTCGATGGTATCCTGTTTGGTTCGCGCATGATGGTTTCCAAGGAAGGTCTTGCTTCGCCTGCCGTCAAGCAAGCCATGGTCGATGCTCCTGGTGTGGGTGATGAAAGCTGGGAAAAGACCTACAAGGGTCCTGCTGGTGGTGTTATCACTGTCCGCTCTGAATTGGGTGAGCCTATCCACAAGATTGCTACCCGCGGTGTACGTCTCTGGAAGGAACTTGACGAAAGCATTTTCCAATTGCCCAAGGAGAAGCGTATCGCTGCCTTGCTTGGCAAGAAGGATTACATTATTAAGCGCTTGAACGCCGATTTCCAAAAAGTGTGGTTTGGCAAGAAGAAGAATGGTGACGTGGTCGATTTGCAAGAAATGACCTACACCGAAGTCATCTATCGCATGATCGAATTGCTTTACATCAAGCACGAGCAACGCTGGATCGACTATACTCACCGCAACCTTGTTGGTGACTTTATGCGCCGTATTGAAGAACGTTTCTCACAAAAGGAGGCTACCTCGCTGTTGCAGAGCTTCAGTCAAATCGAGAACCCCAACGACTTTGTCGCCGAATTCTTGGAGCAATTCCCTGAAGCCGACAGTCAATTGTTGACCTCCGAGGATGTCTTGCACTTTGTTACCTTGTGCCAGCGTCGTGGCCAGAAGCCCGTGCCATTCATCCCTGTGATGGACAAGGACTTTGAAGTGTGGTTCAAGAAGGATTCGTTGTGGCAATCGGAAGACTTGGCTGCTGTCGTTGATCAGGATGTCCAACGTACTTGTATCTTGCACGGCCCTGTCGCTGCCAAGTACGCCACCCGTGTCGACCAGCCTGTTGGCGAAATCCTTGGTGACATTTACGCCAGTCATATCAGCAGCTTGAAGGAACGCTACTATGGTAATGACGACAAGACCATTCCACAGATCGAGTACCTTGGTGGTGCTGCCATCGAGACCAAGACCGTTGCTGCTCCCACCAAGTCGTCTGACAAGGAAGTCGTTTATGAGACTAGTACCTCGAACATCCCTGAAGAGGATACCTGGTTCCAGACCATCTCTGGTCCTCAGTACAACTGGCTGCGCGCTCTGTTGACCTCGCAGTTCATCGTCCAGGACAAGAAGTTCGTTGACAACCCGCTCAAACAATTGTTCCGTCCTCGTCCTGGCCAGCAGGTCGTTATCACTAACGGTACCGATGGTCGTCCTGTCGCTGTCAAGGTTCAAGACAAGCGCTTGTGGAGCGCCACGGGCAAGACTCAGGACTATGTCGTTTCGGTCGACGTCGCACTTTCTGGTAGCATCATCAACGTCACTTTGTTCGAAAAGTGCGGTGATGCTTTTGTGCCTTTGAACTTGCAATATGAGTACAAGCCTGAACTCGGCTATGCTCCCATCCACGAAGTGATGCAGGTAACAGATCAATGAAATATCATCAAACTGCAACATGGCTTGAAAAGGTGATTTGCTAACGTATTATATTGTAATATTAGGGTCGCAATGATCGTATCAAGGACTTTTACTACAAGTTGTGGTTTGGTTTGGACAACAAGGATGACTTCCTGAACGTTTCTGTCACTGAGAAGCTCATTGGTACTGGTGAAACGGTCCAGGCCGCTGAAATCAAGGAGTTCTGCCAGGCTGTTGGCAATCAAGCCGAAATTTACGTCGATCGCGGTCAAAAGATCGTTAATGCACCCATGGACTTTGCCATTGTTGTCGGCTGGAAGGCCATTATCAAGGCCATTTTCCCTAAGGTCATTGACGGTGACTTGTTGAAGCTCGTTCACTTGTCGAACGGTTTCCGCGTGCTTGAGGGTGGTGACTTGCTCTCTGTCGGCGACGTTGTTGATACGTATGCTCAAATCAATGCCATTGTCAACACCGACTCTGGCAAGATGATTGAAGTCAAGGGTGTTATTGTCCGCGACAACAAGCCCGTCCTAGAAGTGATCAGCCAGTTCTTGTACCGTGGCCAGTTTGATGATTACGAATACACTTTCCAACGTACAGTCGAGACCCCCATGCAGGTCAAGTTGAACGACGTCAAGGATATTGCGGTCTTGAAGTCCAAGGAATGGGTTGAGTGGACCGAAGAGTTGGACAACCACGAGCTTTCTCCCGGTAGCACCTTGATCTTCCGTTTGAACACTGAAGTCAAGTACAAGAACAAGAAGGTGTTTGCCAGCGTCAAGACCGAGGGTACGATTTCGATGCAGATATCGACCAAGGAATTTGTTCAAGTTGGCAAGGTTGAATATGTCGCTGGTGAGTCGCACGGTAACCCTGTTGTCGAGTATCTCAAGCGCCATGGCCAGGAGATCGAACAGGCCCATTTCTTCGAGAACGGTGGCTACTCGGTCATGCCTGCCCAGTCCACCTACTCGTCGGTTGTGCACGCTCCTGCTTCCAACGAGCCCTATGCCAAGATCTCGGGCGATTTCAACCCCATCCACGTCAACCCTTACTTTGCTGACCTGGCCAACTTGCCTGGCACCATCACCCACGGCATGTGGACCAGCGCCTCGACCCGCAAGTTTGTCGAGATCTTTGCTGCTGACAACGTTCCTCAACGTGTCGTTGCCTACGACGTCAAATTCATGGGTATGGTCCTGCCTTCGGATCGTTTGGAGACCAAGCTTTCACACACTGGTATGAAGAACGGCCGCAAGATCATCAAGGTCGAGACTATCAACCAGAATGGCGAAAAGATTGTTGAGGGTACTGCCGAAGTTGAGCAGCCTGTCACCGCCTATGTGTTCACTGGTCAGGGCTCGCAGGAACAAGGTATGGGTATGGCCTTGTACGCCAGCTCGCCTGTTGCCAAGGAGATCTGGGACCGTGCCGACGAGCATTTCATGAAGAACTATGGCTTCTCCATCATCGAGATCGTCCGTGACAATCCCAAGGAAAAGACCGTCCACTTTGGTGGTCCTCGTGGTAATGCCATTCGTCAGAACTACATGAGCATGACCTACGATGTTGTCGAGTCCGATGGCTCCATCAAGACGTTGCCTCTCTTCCCCAACATCCATGAGCGCACCTCGTTCTACACTTTCCGCTCGCCCAACGGTTTGTTGTCGGCTACCCAGTTCACTCAGCCTGCTTTGACCTTGATGGAGAAGGCTGCCTTTGAGGACATGCGTGCCAAGGAATTGATCCAATCCAACTGTGCTTTCGCTGGTCACTCGCTCGGTGAATACTCTGCCTTGGCCTCTGTTGGCGATGTCCTGCCCATTGAATCGCTTGTCGACGTTGTGTTCTATCGTGGTATGACCATGCAATCCGCTGTCCAGCGTGATGCCGAAGGCCGTTCCAACTATGGTATGGCTGCCGTCAACCCTGCTCGTGTCTCCAAGACTTTCAACGACACTGCCTTGCGGTATGTTGTTGACTCTATTGCCCGCCAGAGCAACGATGTGCTTGAAATTGTCAACTTCAACGTCGAGAACTGGCAATACGTTGCTGCCGGTTCGTTGCCCAATTTGGATGTCTTGACCAACGTTTTGAACTACATCAAGAAGGCCGAAATTGATTTGCAAAAGCTGATGAACACCATGCCGCTTGAAGATGTCAAGAAGCACTTGTCCGAAATGATCGGTGGTGCTCTCGAGAAGACCAAGGAGAAGCAGGCCAAGCAGGGCCGTGTCAAGCTTGAACGTGGTTACGCCACCGTGCCTTTGCCTGGTATCGATGTGCCCTTCCACTCGTCGTTCTTGCTCAGCGGTGTCGCTCCTTTCCGTACCTACTTGGCCAAGAAGATCAACCCTACTTACATCAACGTTGCACAGCTCGGTGCCAAGTACATTCCCAACTTGACTGCCCAGCCTTTCAGCACTGAAAAGAGCTACATCGAGAACGTCTACAGCTTGACCTCCAGCCCTCGTCTCGGTAAGGTCTTGAAGAACTGGTCGGACGACAAGTACGCCACGCCTGCTCAACAGCAGCGTCTTGGTTACATCCTGTTGGTCGAATTGCTCGCTTACCAGTTTGCCTCGCCTGTGCGCTGGATTGAGACCCAGGATCAGCTGTTCAAGCACTTCCAGGTCGAGCGTCTTATCGAATTGGGTCCTTCGCCTACTCTGTGCGGTATGGCTACTCGCACTTTGAATTTGAAGTACCAAGCCTATGACGATGCCTTGATCAACCGCCGTCAAAACTTGTGCATTTCCAAGCATGCTCAGGATATTAACTACGAGTTCGAGGATGCAGCTGTTGAAGAAGCTGCCCCCGCTGATACTGCTGCTCCTGCAGCTGCTGCTACTCCTGCTGTCCCAACTCCTGCTGCTGCTGCTGCTCCTGCACCTTCCGCTGGTCCCGCAGAGCCTGTTAGGTAAATATTCATGCTTTAACTCGGTTGTTTCAAACTATGCAAGAGAATGCAGAAATTTAACCCCAATTTTTTTTTCTTTATTAGCGACGTTCCTGTCACTGCAGTTGAAATCATTCACTGCGTCATTGCTCAGAAGCTCAAGAAATCCGTCGATGAAATTCCTTTGTCCAAGGCTATCAAGGATTTGGTTGGCGGCAAGTCGACCTTGCAAAACGAGATTTTGGGTGACCTGCAAAAGGAATTTAACAATGCTGTCCCCGAAAAGGCCGAGGAGACTCCTTTGGCAGAACTCGGTGCCTCGCTCGATGGCTCGTTCAGCGGTACTTTGGGCAAGCATACCAGCACTTTGGTTGCCAAGATGATCAGCTCCAAGATGCCTGGTGGTTTCACTTTGAGCAACGCCAAGTCGCATCTTTCGTCCACCTGGGGCTTGGGTTCGGGCCGTACTGATGGTGTTCTGTTGATGGGTCTTACTATGGAACCCGCTGCTCGTTTGGGCGCTGAAGCCGATGCTAAGTCATGGTTGGACTCTGTTGCTCAAGCTTATGCCAAGAAGGCTGGTATCACTTTGTCTACTGGTGGTTCTGGCGGTGCTGGCGGTGCCGGTGCCGGTGGTGCCGTTGCTGTCATCAACAGCGAAGAGTTTGATGCTATGAAGGCCAAGCAAGATCAATTGATCTACCAGGTAAATAAATATCTTTGTTGAAAGAAGTAAACATCCATTGGATTCTAACCTAACATGGATTTTTTTATAGCAATTGAACCTGTACGCTCGCTACTTGCAAAAGGATTTGCGTGATGGTCACAAGAAGTACGAAGCTGAAAAGACAACCACACTCAAGTTGCAAGCGGAGCTGGATCAGTGGCTCGTCGAGCACGGCGACATCTATGCCGAAGGTATCAAGCCTGTCTTCAGCAGTCTGAAGGCTCGTCGCTACGACTCGTACTGGAACTGGGTCCGTCAAGATGCCCTGGAAATGTGGTACGATATCATCTTTGGCAAGCTTGCCATTGTTGACCGTGAAGTCACTGCCAAGTGCTTGATGATCATGACCCGTGCCTACCCCTCGTTGATCGACTACATGCGTTACAACGTCGAGAACTGCAATGGTGACAAGGGTGAGACTTACCGTCTTGCCAAGGAATTTGGCCAGGCTCTTATCGAGAACTGTGTGGAAGTTTTGGCTGTCGATCCTGTCTACAAGGATGGTAAGTGATTGGTTAACTCTATTCAGAATCCTAGGCGGTATATTGAATGTTTGAATTCTTTTAATTGTTGTAGTCGGCTTCCCTACTGGCCCTGAAACCACTCTCACCGAAAAGGGCGATATCAAGTACGCCGAAGTGCCTCGTCCTGGGTGCCGTAAGCTCGCTGACTATGTCAAAGACATGTCTACTGGTAGCAAGATGACCGAATTTTCGAACCGTCTGAAGGTCCAACAGAGCTTGGGTCGCATCTACAAGATTATCCGCAACCAGAACAAGATGAAGAAGTCGTCCAAGGTTGCCATCAAAGAGCTTTACGGCGATGTCTTGCGCGCCATGGCCATGTCGAATACCATTGTCAAGGAGAACCGTGGCCGTCAACGCCGCCTCTCTTCGACTGTCCGCACTGCCGAACGCAAGAGCATCTCTGCCAAGTCTGCCAAGTCTGAGACCATCCCCTTCCTGCATTTGAAGAAGAAGAACGTCAACGACCCGACTGGATGGGAGTTCAGCAGCCGTTTAACTAGTACTTACCTCGATGTGCTTTCCGAGATGGCCGAGGAAGGTATCACTTTTGCCAACAAGTGCGTCTTGTTGACCGGTGCCGGCAAGGATTCGATCGGCTCCGAAATCTTGAAGGGCTTGGTTTCCGGTGGTGCCAAGGTTGTTGTCACCACCTCCCGCTTCAGCCGTCAAGTTACTGAGTACTTCCAGGGCATCTACCAGACCTTCGGCTCGCGTGGCTCTGAATTGGTCGTTGTGCCCTTCAACCAAGGCTCCAAGCAGGATGTTGACGCTTTGATCAACTACATCTATGATCCCAAGGGCTTGAACTGGGATCTTGACTTCGTCATTCCTTTCGCTGCTATCCCCGAGAATGGCCGTGAAATTGATTCCATCGACTCCAAGTCTGAATTGGCTCACCGTATCATGTTGACCAACTTGCTCCGCATTTTGGGTAACGTCAAGAACCACAAGCAAGCCATCGGCTCGGACACTCGTCCCGCTCAAGTCATCTTGCCCTTGTCACCTAACCACGGCACCTTCGGTAACGATGGTCTTTACAGTGAATCCAAGATTGCCCTTGAAACTTTGTTCAACCGTTGGTACTCCGAAAGCTGGTCGAGCTACTTGCTTATCACTGGTGCTGTCATTGGGTAAGCTTAGACTTATTTGCTTTATTACTTGTGTCTATGATGGCTATTCATGCTAACAGTTTTTCGTTCGAAAAATAGCTGGACTCGTGGTACTGGCTTGATGAGCGCCAACAACATGGTCGCTGAAGGTCTTGAAAAATTGGGTGTTCGCACCTTCTCTGCTCAAGAAATGTCTTTCAACATTCTTGGTTTGATGCACCCCAGCATCGTCGAGTTGTGCCAAGTCGAACCTGTGTGGGCTGATTTGAACGGTGGTCTCCAATTTGTTCCCGAGTTGCAAAAGGTCACTGGCCAATTGCGCCAAGATATCCGCGAAACCGCTGAGATCCGCAAGGCTGTTGATGCCGAAAACTCTCTTGACTTCAAGATTGTCTACGGTGAAGAAGCCGAACGCAAGTACAAGCCTCACAAGGTCACTCCTCGTGCCAACATGAAGTTCGATTTCCCTGAACTAAAGTCCTATGATGCCTTGAAGCATTTGGGCCACCTTAAGGGCATGTTGGATTTGGACAAGGTCATTGTTGTTACTGGTTTTGGTGAAGTCTCGCCTTGGGGTAACGCCAGAACACGCTGGGAGATGGAAGCCTATGGCGAGTTCTCGTTGGAAGGCTGTATTGAAATGGCCTGGGTCATGGGCTACATTAAGCACCACCACGGCAACCTGAAGAACGGTACGCCTTACTCTGGCTGGGTTGATGCCAAGTCGAACGAGCCTGTCGAGGATAAGGATATCAAGGCGAAGTACGAGAAGCAGATCCTTGAGCACAGCGGTATCCGTCTTATTGGTAAGTTTTATCTTTACTAATAGAAAATTAAGATGCTATAACGGAGGGTTGCTTTACTTATATGAATTGCTTGTATTAGAACCCGAGGTCATGAACGGTTACGACCCCAACAAGAAGATGCTCATGCAAGAAATCATTGTCGACCACGATTTGGAACCCTTCGCTTGCAGCAAAGAAGAAGCCGAACACTTCAAGGCCGAACAGGGTGATAAGGCTGATACTTATGAGAGCGAGAGCGGCGAATGGGTTGTCGTCTTGCGCAAGGGCGCTACTTTGTACGTTCCCAAGGCTCTCCGCTTCGACCGTCTCGTTGCTGGTCAGATCCCTACTGGTTGGGACGCCACTCGTTATGGTGTGCCCAAGGACATTGTCGAGCAAGTCGACATTGTCTCGCTCTTCAACATGGTCTCGACTGTCGAAGCCTTTGTGTCGTCTGGTATTACCGACCCTTACGAGTTCTACAAGTACGTCCACGTCTCCGAGATTGGTAACGCTACTGGTTCTGGTGTCGGTGGTCAGCAAGCCCAGCGTGGTTTGTTCCGCGACCGTCTTTTGGACAAACCCGTGCAAAAGGATATCTTGCAGGAATCCTTTATCAACACCATGCCTGCCTGGATCAACTTGCTTTTGCTCTCGTCGTCTGGCCCTATCAAGACACCTGTCAATGCTTGTGCCACCGCTGCTGTCTCTGTCGAAATTGCTGTTGATTCCATTCTCACCGGCAAGGCCAAGATCATGATTGCCGGTGCTACCGAAGATATTACTGAAGAGTCCAGCTACGAGTTCGCGAACATGAAGGCCACCTCCAATGCTGCCGATGAATTCGAACACGGCCGTACCCCCGCTGAAATGTCGCGTCCTGCCACCACTTCGCGTAACGGTTTTATGGAAGCTCACGGTGCTGCTAACCATATTCTCATGTCTGCAGCAACTGCCATCGAAATTGGTGCTCCTATCTATGGTATCATTGCCTTGACCAATACTGCCACCGATAAGGAAGGACGCTCCGTTCCTGCCCCTGGTGCTGGTATTTTGACCACTGCTCGCGAAGTCTCAGGCAAGCGTGCTTCGCCTTTGCTCAACATCAAGTACCGTGCTCGCCAACTCAAGGCTCGCCGTGCCCAGATCTCAAGCTGGTTAGAGACCGAATACGATATGCTGCGTGAAGAAATCGCTGAGCTTAAGGGTTGTGGTGAGTTGACCGAACAAGACGAGAAGGCGCTTTTGGCCGAACGCACCGACTTCTTGCACAAGGAAGCCCGTCGTCAGGAGAAGGAAGCTTTGTCTACTTGGGGCATGAACTTTTACCAGCAAGATGCTTCGATTGCTCCTATCCGTGGTGCCCTTGCTGTGTACGGCTTGACCATCGACGATATCGGCGTCGCTTCGTTCCACGGTACCTCGACCAAGGCCAACGACAAGAACGAATCCCGTGTACTCAACACCCAGCTCAAGCATCTTGGCCGTTCCAAGGGCAATGCTTTGCTTGCCATCACTCAGAAGTACCTTACTGGTCACCCCAAGGGTCCTGCGGCTTCTTGGATGGCCAACGGTATGATTCAATGCTTGAACAGCGGTATCATTCCAGGCAACCGCAACGCCGACAATGTCGATGAGGTGTTGAAGGAGTTCGAGTACATTGTGTACCCATCGCGAAGCATCCAGACCGATGGCTTGAAGGCTGGTCTCCTCAAATCGTTCGGTTTCGGTCAGGCTGGTGGTGAAATCTTGATCATCCACCCCGACTACGTCCTCGGTGCTTTGGAGCAAGATGAATATGAATCTTACAAGGTCAAGAACGCTAAGCGTTACGCTCAATCTTACCGCTACTTGCATGACTCGCTCACTGGCGTTGCCGACTTCATCCAAGTTAAGGATGCCGCTCCTTACACTGATGAATTGGAACACAAGGTTTACTTGAACCCCAGCGCTCGCGCTGACTACTGCAAGGTTCGCAACACGTGGGTCTTTGATGCCAAATCGGCTGCCCAAGAAGCTCCTCTCCTCGGTGATGTGAACGCCACCCAATCTGTCTTGGCTTCATTGGCTGAGCAACAAGCCGGCAAGAAGGGTGTCGGTGTCGACGTTGAACTGTGCTCTGCCGTCAACATTGACAATGATACATTTATTGAACGCAACTTTACCAAGGCAGAAGTTGACTATTGCCAGAGCCGGCCTGATCGTCAAGCCAGCTTCGCTGGTCGCTGGTCCGCCAAGGAAGCCGTTTTCAAGGCTATTTCGTCGCACGGCAAGATTGCATCCGATGGCGCCGCAGCCCCACTCAACGAAATTGAAATTGTCTCGGATGAAGTCGGTGCACCTCAAGTTGTTCTTTCTGGCAAGGCCAAGTCTGCTGCTTCCTCAGCAGGTATCAAAAACATCAATGTTTCCATTAGCCACAGTGGCGGCTACAGCGTCGCTGTCGCATTCGCTCAATAGATTTCCCTTTCTGTCAATTTCATCATCACATGTATAATAATATATAAAAATAATAAATTTCAAATTTTGATTATACATGATCGTTTCTTTATTGGGTTCGGATAATAGAAAGGCTTGATGCAAAATTCAGATGCAAAATTCAATGTTGTGGTGAGGTATTACATATAACTGCGAAAGT